ATTACAAATAATGCTGCTATGAACATAGTGGAACAGATGCCCTTGTTGTATGAATTTGCTTCTTTTGGATATATGCCTAAGAGTGGAATTGCTGGGTCTTGTGGTAGGTTTATTCCCATTTTCCTGAGGAATCTCCATACTGATTTCCAAAGTGGTGTACAAGTTGGCACTCCCACCAGGAATGGAGGAGTGTTCCCCTTTCACCACATCCTCTCAAGCATAAATTGTCTTCAGTGATTTTTATTTTAGCCATTCTGACAGGAGTAAGATGGTACCTCAGAGTTGTTTTGATTTGCATTTCCCTGATGATTAAAGATGTTGAGCACTTTCTCAAGTGTCTCTCAGCCATTTTAGACTCCCCTAGTGAGAATTCTCTATTTAGTTCTGTACTCCACTTTTTGGTGTTTTGGATACTTGCTTCTTGAGTTCTTTGTAAATTTTGGGGATCAGCCCTCTGTCAGATGTGGGGTTAGTGAATATCTTTTTCCATTCTGTGGACTGCCTTTCTACTGGTGTTATGTTCAGGAAGCTGTCTCCTGTACCAACTCGTTGAAGAGTATCTCCCACTTTCTCTTCTAAGAGTTTCAGTGTGGTTGGATTTATGTTGAGGTCTTTGATCCATTTGGATTTAAGTTTTGTGCAAGGGGATAGACATGGATTTATCTGCAGTCTTCTGCATGCCAATTTCCAGTTATGCCAGCACCATTGGTTGAAGATGCTTTCTTTTTTCCATTATATAATTTTAGCTTCTTTGTCAAAAATCAAGTGTTCATAGGTGTGTGAGTTAACATCAGGGTTTTCAATTCGGCTCCATAGCTCTACCTGTCTTATTTTTGTGCCAATACCAAGCTGTTTTCAGGACTATATCTCTGTAATAGACCTTGAAGTCAGGTATGGTGATGCCTCCTGAAGTTCCTTTATTGTATAGGGTTGTTTTTATTATCCTGGGTCTTTTGTTTTTCCATATAAACTTGATTATTGTTCTTTCAAGGTCTGTGAAGAATTGTGCCAGAATTTTGATAGGGATTGCATTGAATCTGTAGACTGCTTTTGGTAAGATTGCCATTTTTATTATGTTGATCCTACCAATCCAAGAGCATGGGAGATATTTCCATTTTATGATATCCTCTTTGATTTCTTTTTTTAGTGACTCAAAGTTCTTGATATATAGGTCCTTCACTTCTTTGGTTAATATTATTCCCCAGGTATTTGATGCTGGTTCTGGCTATTGTAAAAGGTCATGTTTCTCTGATTTCTTAGCCACTTTATCATCTGTAACTAATAGGGATACTGATTTTTTTTTAGTTAACCTTGTATCCTGACACTTTGCTGAAGGTGTTTATCAGCTCTAGGAGTTCCCTTGAGGAGTTTTTTGGGTCACTTATGTAAACTATCATAACATCAGCAAATAGTGAAAGCTTGACTTCTTCTTTTCCTATTTGTATCCCCTTTATCTCCTTTTGTTGTCTTATTGCTCTAGCTAGAACTTCAAGTACAATATTGAAGAGATATGGAGAGAGTGGACAACCTTGTCTTGGTTCCTGATTTTAGAGGAATTGCTTTGAGTTTCTCTCCATTTACTTTGATGTTAGCAGTTGGTTTACTGTATATTGCTTTTATTATGTTCAGGTATATTCCTGTTATCCCTTATCTCTACAGGACCTTTATCATGAAGGGGTGCTGGATTTTGTCAGAGGCTTTTTCAGCATCTAGTGAGATGATCATGTGGTTTTTCTTTCGCAGCTTGTTTATATGGTGGATTACATTGATAGATTTTCTAATGTTGAACCATCCCTGCATTCCTGGGATGAAGCCTACTTGATCATGGTGGATGATTTTTCTGATGTCTTCTTGAATCCGATTTGCTAGTATTTTATTGAGTATTTTTGCATCGATGTTCATGAGGGAAATCTGTCTATAGTTCTCTTTCTTAGTTGTGTCTTTGTGTGGCTTGGGTACCAAGGTAATTGTAGCCTCATAAAAAGAGTTTGGCAGTGAGCCTCCTGCTTCTATTATGTGGAATACTTTGAGGAGTATTGGAGTTAGCTCTTCTTTGAATTTAATGTAGAATTCTGCACTGAAGCCATCTGTGTCTGGGCTTTTTCTTTTGGTTGGGAGACTGCTTCTATTTCATTAAAGGTTATAGGTCTGTTTAGATTGTTTATCTGTTCTTGATTGAGTTTTGGCAAGTGATACCTATCCAGGAAATTGTCCATTTCCTTTAAATTTTCGAATTTTGTGGAGTACAGATGCCCTGATGATTCTCTGGATTTCCTGAGTGCCCGTTGTTATGTCCCCCTTTTCATTTCTAATTATGTTAATTAGCATGCTCTCTCTCTCTCTGTCTTTTGGTTAGTTTGGACAAAGGTTTGTCTATTTTGTTGATTTTCTCAAAGAACCAACTCTTTGTTTCAATGATTCTTTCCAATGTTTTCCTGGTTTCTACTTGATTGATTTCAGCCCTCAATTTGATTATTTCCTGGCATCTGCTCCTCCTGGGTGAGTTTCCTTCTTTTTGTTCTAGAGCATTCAGCTGTGCTATTATTTCTCTAGTGTGACTGTTCTCCAGTTTCTTCATGCGGGCAGTTAGTGCTATGAACTTTACTCTCAGCACTGCTTTCAGAATGTCCCCTAAGTTTTGGTATGTTGTGTCTTCGTTCTCATTGAATTCCAGGAAGTCCTTAATTTCTTTTTTATTTCTTTCTTTACACAGGGATGGTGCAATTGTGCATTGTTCAATTTCCATGAGTTTGTAGGGTTTCTGCGATTTGTATTATTGTTGAATTCTAATTTTAATGCATGGTGATCTTATAAGATACAGGGGGTAATTCCAATTTTTTGTATCTGTGGAGGTTTGCTGTTTCCTATTATGTCGTCAATTTTAGAGAAGGTTCCATGTGGTGCCGAGAAGAAGGTATATCCCTTTGTGTTTGGGTGGAATTTTCTATAGATGTCTGTTAAACCCAGTTGGGTTATAACTTCTATTAGTTCTTTTATTTCTTTGTTAAGTTTCTGTCTGGAGGTCCTGTCTAGTGGGGAGAGCAGAGTGTTGAAGTCTCCTACCTACTGTGTGAGATTTTATGTACGATTTGAGCTTTAGTACTGTTTCTTTTACGAATGTGGGTGCCTTTGTATTTGGGGCATAGGTGTTCAAAATTGAGACTTCATCTTGATGCATGTTTCCTCTGTTGAATATGAAATGTCCTTCTTCATCTCTTTTGATTGGTTTTAATTTGAAGTCTAGTTTGTTAGATATTAGGATTGCTATACCTGCTTGTTTTTTGGGTCCATTCGATTGGAAAATCTTTTCCCATCCCTTTACTCTGAGGTAACATCTGTCTTTGATGTTGAGATGTGTTTCTTGTGTGCAGCAGAAGGATAGGTTCTGTCTTCGTATCCATTCTGCTAGTCTGTGTCTTTTTATAGGCAAGTTGAGACTGTTGACATTGAGGGATATTAATGACCATTGATTGATGATTGTTGTTTGTGCTTGATTTATTGGTAGTGGATTTATTGTGTGTAGTTCTCCTCCCTTTTTCTTTTGGTGTTTGGTAAAGTGGGGTTATCTATTGCCTGTGTCTTTGTTAGTGTAGTTATCTTTGTTGGGTCTATGTTTTCCTTCCAGCACTTTCTGTAGAGCTGGATTCATGGATACGTATTGTTTAAATCTGGCTTTGTCATGGAATATTTTGTTTTCTCCATCTATGGTAATTGAAAGCTTTGCTGGATATAGTAGTCTGGGCTGGCATCCTTGTTCCCTTAGCGTTTGTAGGACATCTGTCCAGGATCTTCTGGCTTTCATAGTTTCCATTGAGAAGTCAGGTGTAATTCGGATAGGTCTGCCCTTATATGTTACTTGGCCTTTTTCTTTAGCTGCTCTTAATATTTTCTCCTTATTCTGTAGGTTTGATGTTTTGATTATTATGTGGCGAAGTGTCTTCTCCATCAGGTGATTGCCTAGTTAGTAGGAAATTGATGCATTTCTGAGGTTCAGTGTTGGGCTCTGCTGCTGGCAGGTCTGGCACTTAGAGGCAGATGAAGCCGGTGGTAAATGTTGTCAGACCCATGCATAACACTCATCTCTATCTCCATGACCACTTTTTTCACGGGACCTGTGCTGGCTGGTCTGTATCGGTCCCACAAACAAATCATTAAATCAAAGACAGAACATTCATTTAGAATATGCTTCCACACGGCCAGGCCCTAAGGAATTTCTTAGTTGCTTATTGAAGAAGGAGGGTCCAGCCCACTGTGGCTGCTTGCATTCCTGGACAGGGCAGGAAAGGCTGTGAGCAGCATCCCTGCAGGACCTCAGCTCCTGTCTCAGGTGCTTTCATTTTTGAGCTCCTCTCCTAAGTCTCTTCTATGATGTACAGACATGTGGAGGTAAAAGAAAAATGCACCCTTCCCTCCCCAACTTGCTTTTTGGTCACAGGTTTTGTTCTGACACAGCGAGGCAAACATGGCTGTTTCAGACAGGCAGCACTTAGCCCAGGAGAAGGTGATTAGCCTCTGTCCTGCAATGTCCCCATCTCTCTTAGTACTGCAATCAGATCAGCCAGCCAGGCTCTGCAGACAGATTGCTTTCAGGGACTTTCCTTCACCAGCAGACAAGGCAGGTTGCCTTCAGAAGTCTGATAGTCAAAGAGGGGAGAGCAAGTCTATTGCGAATATGCCCATTGCTGCCAGACAGGACGGTTACACAGGAGCACGTGGGATTCTGTCAACATTGAGGCATGTGTTTATTAACGTGTGAGCCTCCCTACAGAAGCCGGGGTTATGGGAAGAGAGTTGTGTGCTTTTCTAAGTGACTTAGAAAGTACAGGATAAATGTGAGCTACAGCACTAATTGATGAGAAGTAGAGTGGTCGTGCACACTCTTCTTACTTCTAACTCTCCCCCTTTCCACATAGGCTCTTTTTTTGTTTCTGATTTTATTTCTGCATTTGATAAACAAAAGATAGTCCCAGGAAATCCAGGAGGCTTGCTTAGAACCCAATTGGGCATTTTCACATCAGGAGGTGGTTCTGCCAACATGGGCCTCTAAACCACGTTACAAGAAATCGTCCTGTCTGCCCATTTCCAGTCTGAGCACAGAGCACAACTTGTACTTGCCAGCATTTCCTAAGAAGAGGGCGGAGTCCCTGGTGGGGATAAATAGGCATCAGTGCACAGTGGGAGATCAACACGAAAGGCATACAGCAGCCCCGAACATCAAGACTCAGCGATCACAGGCGCTGGCGGCGGGCATCGGCTCTGCAGGTAATGCAGGTTTCCTACCCACTGGGGACACAGAAGGAGCCTTCCAAGGACTGCGCGGCGCTGGTGATGACATGAAAACTTAGTGTAGGAGGAGCTGTTAGTGGTTGGAGTCAGGGGACATTTCTGGGTTGCATGAAAATCTTCTCTCCAGTTGGGTCTTCCGGCCTATGGAAGATGTGGGTACCATGGGCTATGCTCCTGGAGAGTGAACAGAGCCTGCTCCCTCGGGCCCTCCACAAACAGGACGCATTAACTAGTCTGTGTGCTGCTGGTGGAACCAGGGTGACACAGGACTGATGCAGAGTCCCTCCGGGGGTGGTGGCAGCCCTGCCATGCTGACAGCTGACAGGAGCTGCCTTGGGGTCAGGAACCCTCTTCCCTAGTAGATCCCATGGCCACACAGAGTAGATTTGCCATCAGCTAGGGAAGGAAGAAGGCAGTAGCTCAGCCACTGAGCCAGGTCTCCTGCTGCATGCACTGAGCAGCCCCTTTCCTCTGAAAACAAACTGGCACAAAATATGGATCCGTGATTTTCCAGAGAAACGATTGCAGCAGTTTAAAAGCAAACACTGAGAAAGGCGGCCAAAGTCCCTGCTCCTCTGCAGGCATGTGACAGCCCTGGGGACAAGCAGCCTGCTCCAACACTTCCTCCTCTGCTCCCTCCAATTCCCTCTGTGCCATTCTGTATTCATCTTTCCTCTTCCCTCGCCTTCCCTTTGGCTCCTCCTCCTTTCCTTACCCCTCCTTCATCCTATCTCCCTGCTGCTTTGCCTCCATTTTCTTTCTTCCATGTTCTCACTCCTTCGAAATTTCTGCAACCTCTTGCTGTCCCCTCTCTCCACTTCTTCCTTTCTCATTTACCATCCACGTTCACCTTTCAACGCCTGAGCAAATGGACAGAAGCTAAACGTGCTTGCCCATGTTTACCATAATCCCAAACATATAGTGCAAGTCCTTTAGGATGCTTGGGCCCGCACTCCAAGGGTGTATGGAAGAGACAGGCCTCTAGACATTCCCTATAACTAACCCCATTTAACCCGATAAGAAGCCAGACACTTACCAATAATGGACCCTGGGCTACTCACCAGGCTTCACATAGAGGTCCACCCATTTGCTTGCTACCACACAGCCATCCCAAGAGCCAAAACAAACTCTGCTCCAGGTGTCAGAGATGAACACCACCCACCTTTCTTCCCACCAGGAGGCCTTCCAAGGCTGAGGTGTAATCCACCATGTGGTGCCCTGGCAGGGATGAAGGACTTTGCCCTGTTTGTCCTTCTACCACATGATTTAAGAGGGGCCAATAGTTGGGCACTGCACCAGATGTCACCAGTGCTGCCTCTCAGTCACTCTCCCCAAGTCCAACTTCATGCACCAGAATCAGTCAAGGGCCTTGAGGTTTCTCAGACTTGTCACCAAGAGGCCAGGTCAGGGCCAGTGCTAACTACTGCTCCAAGGAGCCTAAGTTCTGCAGTGGGGGTGGGTGGTGCACAGAGGAAGAGGAATCAGTCTTCTAATGGATCCTTCTGCAGAGAAGGAGAGAGACATTCTGATCAGACAGCACTCGTTCCCATCCCTTTACCCCTCTTCTGGTTTGCTCTGTGACCCTGGCACGTCCTCGAGCCTCTTTGGATCGTGGTTCTCTGTAAGGAGAACCGGCTACTGCAACAGCACTTCCTCCCGTGATGACAACGGGAGTGCACGATGGGGTGCTGCCATATGAGTGGCCAGAGCTCCTCCATGCATGGTCAAGGAGGCACGCAGGGGCAGCAGATCTGGGACACAGAGCAGCCCTGTGCGAGGACAAGGAGATGGTCAGGACACCACCTGGCCATCCCAGACTCTAATGATCTTTGCTTTTCAGATCAGAGAAGATGGCCCTCCTTGTAGCTCTGGGGCTCTTGATGGTGGGGATCTGCCCTGTTGCCCTCTGTCAGCAAGATGGCACATTGGGGAGGAACACTGAACTTCAGGAAGATCAGAACAATGGGACACTAGTGGACAGTGTAACACTGGCCTCCATCAACACCGACTTTGCCTTCAGCCTCTACAAGCAGCTGGCTTTGAATAATCCAGATAAGAACATCGTCTTCTCCCCATTCAGCATCTCATTTGCCTTGGCAGTCCTGTCCCTGGGAGCAAGCAGCAACACCCTTAAAGAGATTCTGGAAGGTCTCAAGTTCAATCTCACAGAGACCCCCGAGGCAGACATCCACAGGGGCTTTGGGAACCTCCTCCACATGCTCAGCCAGCCAGGGGACCAGGTACAGCTCAGCACAGGCAACGCCATGTTTGTTGAAAAACACCTGCAGATCCTGACAGAGTTCAAGGAGAAGGCAAGGGCCTTATATCAGGCTGAGGCCTCCTCCACTGACTTCCAGCAGCCCCATGAGGCCAAGAATCTCATCAATGACTACGTGAGCAAACAGACCCATGGGAAGATCAAGGAACTGATCTCAGACCTGGATGATCAGACGTTAATGGTGCTGGTGAATTACATCTACTTTAAAGGTGAGGATGGCCACTGTTTTAGGGTGGATGAAAAGGGTGGAGGCTGGGTACATTGTGTCCTTATGCTGACCACTGGAAAGGAGTGGCTCATGGTCTTGAATGCATGGGGGCCTCACTTCTTGTTACTAGCAGACCTTACTTCTGCTTTGAGACTTTTTATATATAGTTATGGTTCCTTTAATGTTCAAAACAAACCCTTAGCTCTCAACTAAGGGGACTGAATTTGGCTGTGACGTGAACTTCCTGACTAACAGAATGCACAGCTTGCATACCCAGTCCTACCTGAGTGTGCAGAAGCCGTGGTGTCTTCCTGTAGAGACGGATCCCTCAGTCTGCCCTCCCCAGCTTTTCTAATATGCTCCTGTAGAAGGTGTCCATCCCTGCCGGAGAGCCTCTGTCTCTAGGGGGTACTTGTGGGCTGGGGACTTCTTAACCTAAGGAGTCTGGCTACCTAAGCTTAAGGGGGAAAGTAGCGTGCATGACCCATAAACATTCAAAAGCTCTATGGGTAATTCCTATGCAGGACTCTTCCCTTGAACCATTTCAGAAATGAGCTGGACTGCATGAAAACCAAGGATTCGGGAGAAGAGATTAATGAGAGGGAAGCGTCAGCCAGGCACTGTTCTGTATTTAGGTTATGGCTGCTTTGTGGAAATTTGCTTTTGTAGAATTACTAGCTCAGAAGCTTGAAGGTCAGAATGCCCAAGACACACTCTAGGGCCAGTGAGTCTGATAAGAGTTGGGTGCAAGAGACTTGGGAGACACAGCTGTGGATGTAATGGGTAAGGTTAGTAGAGGACATCCAGAGACCACACCACTGCCTGATAGAAATTAGGGAGCAAGGTGACAGTCCAGAACCTGGTGCCTGACAGAAGTCATGATATAATCAGACCTGGGCTGGATCTGGGACTGGATTAAGGAAAGCCCAGGGTAGAGGGAGGGCAGAATCTGAGACTGTGTGTAAAAAAAAAATCAAGGTGGCCATGGACAGGTAAATAGGAAAGAAAGGAGGGCAGAGGACATGAGGACAGAATGGCTGCAGAGCTGGTGTGATCTGGGAATGCTTGAAGCACGATGATGGCCTGAGGGATGAGATTGCATGGTGTGGCTCTCTAGCATCAGGACCAAAGCTCCAAGGCTGCTGGGCTGTGAGGTAGGGATGCATGTTTAGATTGCTGGATCCTGAGCCCAAGCAATTGCTTCAGTACCAAGTCCTGCAGGGTGCGTTGGTCATGGGGACATAAACTAGGAGTCTGGGATAAGTGTTAATGGGATGTCTGTGATTTGTGGAGGTGGCCATAGCCCATGTGTGAGCTGAAGACATGCTACTCACATTTTAGTCCACAATCTATGGGACGATGGACTATCCATGGTGTGGACGAATTCAGTCTCTCTAGTCCTGTTTCCCCTCAAGCCTGTCCCACAAGACCTTGCCTTCTAGACACGATTCCTCCTGAGGAAGAAGGGATCCTACATCTCTCCAGGCTTCAGTCTCACCACTGTCATGCTCATCTCTCCCTTCCACACCCCTAGCCCAGAACCCTGACTATTATTCATGACTCCAGTAGCCAGGCTGTGGTTTGAAGTTCCCTTTCCAAACCAAGATTGGAGTCTCTTCTCAAATCTAGGAACTTGTCCACCTAGTAAGTTTTTTTCCAATCCAGCATTTGCCACCCCTGAGGGACACTCTGTGTTGTTGATGATGGGTTGATTGTTGTCATAAGTTAGAAGCTGGACAGAAATGGGATTGAGGTGGGGACTCTCAGGTGATGTTACTATCTGATGACCTGCTTCATCTTTAGGAAAATGGAAGAAGCCATTTGACCCTCTTGACACATTTGATTCTGAGTTCCACTTGGACAAGAAGAGGACTGTGACAGTGCCCATGATGAACATTGAGAACCTGATCACACCCTACTTCCGGGATGAGAAGCTGTCCTGCTCAGTGGTGCAGCTGAAGTACACGGGCAATGCCAGTGCCCTGTTCATCCTCCCTGACGAGGGCAAGATGCAGCAGCTGGAAGACAGCTTACAGCCAGAGACCCTGAGGAGATGGAAGGGCTCTCTGAGACCCAGGTGAGTGTCCATAGCAACCAGAGCTGTGGATCCCCATCCTGCTGTCACCCTAAAACCCAATGTTCCTGTTCCTCATAGTCTCACTTGTACCCTGTGTAATGGTTGGAGAGTGAGTCCAGATAGGTGGGGTGGAGGTGAATTTCCCTCTGCTGAGTAGGTTTTTTGGGGACTGAATTTACTGTTGTTTTTGTTGCTCACAAGATGACATGAGCTACAGCAGGAGCTGAGTTCTCTGTGTCTAACAGGCTGTAATTACAAAAAATCTTGAATGGGCTTGGGAAGCAGAGGAGAGTGAGGTAGAGATTATATCAACTCTGAGAATCAGCACTGCCCTGCATAGCCATCTCTTCCCCTTTTCACCTGTTCATTCGCCATTAGTGCAATGATAACATGAAGACCTACTAAGTGTCCGTCTCTGATTTAGACCCTGAGTGGATATCAATGGCTAAAGCACAATGCTTCTTACCCTTGAGCAATCATGTTGTGATTGAGGAAGAGTGAGCATGGTCATGAAAATACAACTATTATATAACTAATTAAAAGATGGGGGGAGCCAGGTGGTGGTAGTGCATGCCTTTAATCCTAATACTAAGGGAGCAGAAGTAGATATATCTCTGAGTTTGAGGCCACCCAGGTTTATAGAGCTTGCCACAGGACAGCCAGAATTACACAGAGAAGCTGCATCTTGAAGAAAAAGAAATAAGAAAAACAAAATATCGATATCTTTTGGTACCAGCCCCTCAGACCTCTCAGGGTTCAGCAAGAAAGCTTACAGCAGTTTGGACTTAGATTTGAGGGTGAAGTGAATTCTCCACTATGCGCTTTTCAGCATCAGTTTATCATTCTGTTTCTCCTCTAATAATCCTACTTCCCAATCCTCCTAGTACATTCTTTCAGATTCTTCCATCCTCAAAACTCTTCTCCTACAGGAGCCTTGAAGGGACAATGAAATTACAAGAGTTACCTCTCACTGGTCAAGACCACATTCCTAGGATACGTGATTATGGAGCTGAGCCATTGCCATGGCAACATAAGGTCCCACGGCCATAGGAGCGAAACCTTGTCTAGATGGGGTGGGAGTACAGAGCCCAATGACAACTTTGAGACACAGATCCATAGTTAGTAGACTGGCAAATGAAGAATTGGCATGCTTTTCTTTGTAGCCTTGGTTGGACATCTGTGGCTATCACCTTGTTCATAACTATACGGTTTCAAACTTATGATCTCTTTACAAAAAGCAGTTAGTCTGAGTAAAAGAACAAGACAGGTTGTTAACTGTCCATAGTCTTAGTGGGACAAATAGGTCTTTTAATGAAACATGACCCAGTATATATTCTATATGTCAAAATCACATAGCTAAATGAAAAGTCATCGTCTAGACTACTCACAGATATATGTGCCCAGCAGATGGAATATTTTCACGAGATTAACACACAGGTAGTCAGAGAATACCCAAATATATTCTTAGAGAAGTAATGAAGTTCTTAGGGAAGAAACAAAGTCACTCATGAGAGAAATTACAGACAGGAGCAACTGGTTTCCAGAGCCGGAAACTCCATGACCTTGCCAGGTGGAGTTCACTATCAGAGGATCACTCATCTGTAGGTCGTCCTGTTGAACACTAGTGATCACCTGCTGTGTCTCTCATGGCCCCTGACAACAACAGAAAAGAGAAAGAGAAAGAAAAGAAGGAAGGGAGGGAGGAAGAAAGGAGAAAGGAAGGGAGGGAGGGAAGGAGGGAGGAAGGAAGCAAGGAAGGAAGCTGAGAAGTGTTGAGGTAAAGAATGGGGAAACCCAGGGATAATGAGAGCTGGAGTCTGATACAGTGTGCACTTTCGAATAGAAGGGTCATTAGATGAAGCCAGAAGGTCCACATGGCAGGGGAAGGACTGCATTTTGTACATCTCAGAAGAAAGCATTCTCAGCAGAGGCACAGCTGCTGCTGAGACTCGCCGTGTGTCTGTAACCCTGCTCAGGCCCGGATGGATAATTAGTGCAATAGGAAGAGCATCATTGGGTAGAGGGCTGCGCTCCAGTGAGAGAAACAGGGTGGATTGAACGGGCCATGGAGGCCAGTGACCTCATACGCCATTTTCATTCTCAGGGTGATCAGCAAGCTCTCTCTGCCCAAGTTCTCCATCTCCACTGATTACAGCCTGGAGAACATCCTTCCACAGCTGGGCATCAGGGAAGTCTTCTCCACACAGGCTGACCTGTCTCGGATCACAGGAAACAAGGGCCTGAAGGTCTCTCAGGTAAACTGACTGCCCTTCCTCTCTCCCCTGAACACAATCTTACCTAGTAGTCAGAGTGGGAAAGAGCTTGTACTGGTCTTAGACCACCATGGGAACCAACCTGTGCTGTAGTGGGGATGCCTCCCACAATGCACTGCAGGGCAAAACACATCCACACTCAGTGTCTTCCCTGCAGCGCTGGAGAGTACTTCCTGACAGGCACACAGAGCAGTAGCAGTAATGAAATCACAAGGGATTAAGAATAGAGAGAGGATGCCTTAGGACTTCACACTACATTCCCAGATGCACAGCCTGGCCATGCCTAGAGTTCTGTCCAGTGCCCACTCAAGCCCTGGTCTCAGATCTGTACAGCGGGGCATGGCAGTGTGGGAATGAGAAGCCATGTCCTGTGCATTGCTGTAGTGTGTCCCCAGGAGGCTGCAGCAGGAGGGATGCTGAAACCTGCACTGGCTGTCAGCACCCTGGCTGTTCCCTCCGGGTCTCCTGAGAAGCTGATGTGGAGTAAGGACTGGGGTTGTCTATACCCATCCCCCAGTGTGTAGTGGGTTTTAGGGCAACACAGATTCTCAGAGACTGAGCAGACCCCGGGCATGCCTCATCTCACACCCTGAGCAGAGACTTGGAAACCCCAGGGTGAGAGCTCGTGCAAGGAACAAACACCTTCACCACAGAATCTGCTCTCCTCCCTCCTGGCCTCCAGTGAGTGATGTCTTTCTCCTCAGGTCGTCCACAAGGCGGTGCTGGACGTGGGTGAGACGGGCACAGAGGCAGCGGCTGCCACAGGAGTCAAATATCTCTTTAAGTCTAGGAAATGGTTCACAATGATTGTGTATTTCGACAGGCCATTCCTGATGATTATCTATGACACAAACACTCAGACTCCACTCTTTATGGCCAAGGTCACAAATCCTAAGAGGGGCTAGCTAGCTAGCACTTCACAAATGGTGAGGCTTCTTCCCAGGAGCCAGGGATTAAGCCTGTGTGGGTGGTCTCTATGCGCATTTTGGCTTCCACGCTCTGATTGACTGAGGTACGCCTGGATTGGACAATGACAATAGCTGTATGACTGGTGTAAGGACTCAGGCATTACGTTGGCCTGTCCATGTTACCTGGAAGAATGCCCTCAGGCAGTACCCTGGTCAGCTCAGGGTTCCATGAGTACTGGTCTGCACGCAGGTGGAAAGGACCCCTTTAAAAGAAAGACCCGCCCGCTTGAGTTCTCTTTCTGCTCTCTCTGCTTTCCTCTCCTTCTGCTCCTGTCTCCCTCTTCTCTTCTGTCCTCTCTGTGTCTCTGTCTCTTTACCTTTTTTCTCTTTCCTTCCCACCTCCCTCTCCTTTCTAATAAAACTCATCACTTAAGCTCTGTCTGCCTGGCGTGTTTGTCCCCCACCGCGGTCACCCTCGCCGGCCATGGACTCTGCCATGGCTCCTCTCGCAGGACCGTATTCCAGCTTTGTCCTAACACTGGTGCAAAATAACAACCGGGACCAGCACAGGGACCTGGCGACAGTCAGTGTCAGGCTCCCAGTCCTCTTGGAAACACTAGCTAATGTTCCCTGAGCCCGGAGTCTGTCTCTGTGGTCCTTCCCTGCTGCCACTCCTGTATCTGCCTCTACCCAAAGCCTGGGCCCTGGCAGGTAGGATCCGCCTGTCTAGACTCTGCTATGTCTGCTGTCAGCATCCACAACCTTCATGGGAATATACAAGCATATATGCCGAACACGTGGCCCTCAACTCCGGAACTGAGAAGGGAACCTGCGCCCTGAGTCTATCTCCAGCATCCGGTATCACTTGGTGCCCAACACCTCCTCACACTTCAACTCTTCCAACCATTGCCCCTTCATGCATTCCTGACTCTGTTCACATCTGGCACAGCGTTGGGAGAGCTCATTCCTGCAGCTGCATGGAGCCTGTTGGTCTGATCGGCTCCTTTCCTCCTTCTGCACCTACTTAGGGCAGGGGAGCCTTTTTCTAGGTTCCCAATGACCACCTCACATGACAGATGGACGCTCAAATGCAAGGCTTTGAGCAAATAGTCAATAAATGTGAATCTTCACAGAAAATGGCCACACACTGTTCACTCAGCTCCAGTTAGCAGGGGTGTGGCCTCCAGCGACAATAGCTTGGTGGAGAATCACAGTCTGTGACTCACGTGATGGACCTCTCACTTTATGGTATCATCATTCCCTCTCATGGATGAGAAACTGAGGCACAGCGAAGCTTAGTCATTTTCCCATGGCCTCACAGTAGATATTATGACTGGTGAGATATACTTCTAAGTGTCCTGATGTCAGAGGAACAGTCTACACCAATCTTGGGTTCTGTGCCCAAGGCATCACTGTGGTGGTGGCAGGTAGATCATAAAACAAGGCTCTGAATGCTTTGCAGAGAACACCCAGATGAGTCTAATGTGGTGATATACTATCTATGATTTATTAAAGCTTGTCTGAGGATTCAGAAAACAAAGTCAGCCACAAGCCACAGAATTCAGGCACACACCTTTAATCCCAGCATCCAGAAGCTAGGAGGCAGTGGTACACACTTTTAACCCTAGGACTCTGGAGGTGGATGATCCCTTCGACTTCGAGGCCACCCAGAGATACATGAGATTGAATCAGTCTAAAAGAGTAATAGATCACATGCCTTTAATCCCAGCACTAGGTGGGTATAAAAGATAAAAGTAGGGTCTTCAGTATGCAGTATGAGGCATTTGTTCTCCAGCCACACTGAGGACAGGCAGCAGTTTTAGACTTGGTGAAGAGCTTGTGTATGGATCAGCCCTTCCAGCCTGTGCTACAGGTGAGAGCTGGAGTGGCCAGCAGCTTTGCTTCCTTGGTTTTCAGCTTGAATCCCAATATCTGTCTCTGGGCCTTTTATTCATTCATGTTACAATCTAATGACCATGTGACCTCTGTGCTGAGGTCAGAGGAGGATGAGAATAAAGAATGCTTTGGGCAGGGTGAAGAACAGGGAGGCATTTCTAAGAATTATGATTGATTGGTTTAGAAAAAGGCAAACAGCCATTGGATGTCAAAGAGCCTGGCCCTGTGTGGACCTTCAAATGACTGAGAATGACAGGGAACTCTGGATGGGTGAACCACTGTTCCTGTCTTGGTTCCCTGGTAACCCTGGGTGTCAGTAAGATGGAGAACTTCTCTGGGTAGAGTTGGGGATTGTACTGTGGGCAGTATCAGGGTAAGCAGACCACATCTGAGAGTACAGTGGGTGATTAAATTCAAGGGATGGGATGGTTTCATGCCTACATAGAGGAGGAGAGGAGTTTGTGGTGAAATTGGGTTGGAGTTCTGGGTGTCCATGGAGAGTCTGTGAGCCCAGAACCTCAACCAGAGTGCTGCATGGAGAGGGAAAGTTGACCATTCAGAATGCGACTTACTTAAGACATGAGGCTCCTAAGAACACACATTGAGCAGGTGGACATGTGGTTGCTGAGAATTACAGCCTGGAGGGTCACACACAGGATGGCCTACCCTTGACTATGGAGTGATAAGAAGGGACCTATGCATTGAAAGCAGCCATGTCCCAACAATTGTAATGTGTCCAGCAGTCATTCAAGGCCCTGAGGTGGCCATCTCTTGCACTCCCTGAGCACTGACATGCCTCAGCTGCATCCCTCCATCTTTCCAGGGTTTAATTCAGGTATCTAAGGATCCTGGTGGTGAGTACATCTCATGCTGCCCATGAGCAGGTGCAGAAGTTGTTGACAAAGTCTGAGTCCACCTTTTAAAGGATTCTAGGACACAGATATCAGGGTTTCACTGTTCCCTATTATTGAGGATTTCCTGGGAATTTGACCACCAAATGTTGCCCTTGTGATGAAACCCCTCCAGGAATACCCTCTGTGTACAAGAGAGGTAACAAATGTGTGTGGTGGAGAGAAGAGGCTTGTTTACAGTAGTGAATTCAGACACCTGTACTGCAAACTAAGAGCAGAACAAAGTATGTAAGGGTTACCACACTGAGATGGGAGGGTCCCCAAGAGGCACCCCCTGTGACCTATATGATCTTCAGATCCTCACTAACTTTTCTTTCCCTAAAACCATCACAACCAACTCCTAGGTCTCTTAAGAAGATGCTGAGCTGCCACCCAGTTGGCTACCTCTGTCTGTTTTCTGTAGTTGTTACTAAGGGTCATGGAGCAGATAGTATGTAGAGGAATGTGTCAGCTAGCCTTTTGTCACTGGGACAGCACATCTGAGATAACCCTCTGAGGAAGCAAAGGTTTGGTCAAAATCAAAAATCACTGTTTGAGAAACATGGCATGTACTCTCTCATATATGGAATTTAGACATAGATCTGGGGAGTGCCAGCCTACAATCCCATGGCCAGAGAGTCTGGGAAACAGAACCTTCATTCAGTGGCTGATGGAAAAAGAGGCAGACTCCCTCGGCTAAGCACTGAGCTGAACTCAAGAAAGCCAGTAACAGAGAGGGAGGACTGATGACCAAAGGGATTAAGACTGGGCTGGTTTAACCCCCAGAACAGCTGACCTGACAAGGGTTAACTCTAGAATCCCAGGCTGATGCCTGCAAATCCAGCATGGGACTGATCAAGACCCCCTGAATGGGGGTGTCAGTGAGGAGGCCTAGGTAATCTATTGAGCCTTGAGCAGTAGATCAGTATTTATCCCGGGTATACACATGGACTTTGGACTCCCATCCAACAATGTGAGATGCACTCTCACCCTGAACTCTTGGGGGAGGGTCTAGGCCCTGCCCTGGATGAAATGACAGACTATGGACACCGGCAAGGAGGGCCTCACCCTCCCTGGGAAAATGAGGAGATATTAGGGGGGGGGTTGGAGGAAGGGCACGGGAGGAGGGAAGGGAAACGGAGAGGGATCTGGAACTGACTTGTGAAGCAATCTTGTTTCTAATCTAAATTTAAATTTGAAAATAAATAATAAAAAACAGAAAAAAGGAAAAAAATCACTGTTTCAGAGAAATCAGGCCAGGATCCGCTGGTATCTTAGCTTTGGGCCTGAGGCAAATCAAGCTTTGGGCATCTAAAGACACTATCAGGAGGATGAGGGCTGGGGACAGGGCGAGAGATGGGAACAATGCTGGTCTCACATGCATGAGGACCAGAGTTCTCTTCCCTGAGGTCACATTAACTTGTGGTTCCAGCTCTGGGGTGGAGTCAAGCGGATCCCAGAGAATCACTGGCAGCCAACCTAATTCCAGGTCTATGGAGAGACCCTGCCATATAATCAAGATGGGTGGGGAATGGTATGTGGATGTACTCTGACCTTCTTATGGATATGCACAGAGATGCACACATACACATTCACAAATACACAGAATCAAATAAAATTTTCAAAATTCTAAAGGAGAAGAAAGCTAGTGAGGTAGCTTAGTGGGAGAATAGCAGCTTGGCTTTTATATGTGGAGTGTATGGTCCCAGTACAGTGAGAGACAGCAGACAACCCTAGAATGGGAAGAGATGTTTACTTCTCAGTCACCCACACCTAGAATTCTGATGAACTCAAATGGTTGTGTAACAAAGCCTTCCTTCACACACCAAGAATGCTGTACATTTATTTATTCTTAATAGATATAAGTACTTTTATTAATGTTCGGACCAAGAGTGAGATCTTGTCTCCAAATAGTCTGTAGGTACCCAAGCTCAGGGGACAGCATGTTTAAAGACAAAAACCACAAAGGCCATAATTTACATACTACTTAATGAAAATCAGATTATTTGAAATGTTCTTTCCTGAGCCAGGCATTTCCTGATGCTTGAGTTTCGCCTAGTTCCAGATGGAGTCAAGTTGACTTGGTATCACCTTGACACATAACATGTCTCCTTAATTCATGTGTAACTTCTGATTGAAAAGTATAATCAGGTATTAGCTATGTCTTATATGAATTAACTATCCCATGCACAATTGCAAATGCAGTATATATTTAACATGTCGAACTTGCACCTAATATGATGTCACTATGCTTTATCTGACCAGAAATGCATTATTAATTTTATAATAGGTTGTGATGTTCTTTAAGAGTCATTCCTTTAGTATGTCTAACTTGATTATTATATCCACTGGTATTCTCTGAATTGATATTACATTGCATGATAAAGAAATTGAGGAAGGGAAACACAAATATCTAGACAAATGCATTCTTAACTAAAACATGGCAGAAACTCATGTCAGTTGTAATCCTCTTTTCTGGAACTGGCCACACAGTCTCAACTGGTATTTATAACTGTGTTCTTCTAGTACCCAT